CCCTAAATCTGAAATGACAACCCGAAGAGTTCAAAACCCCTCGTCTGGAGAATATAGAATGTACCCCACAGGCTCCACATATAGTACCATTATGGAATTAAGTCCCAAAAGACCATCCTTATTAAGGCTTTAGGGACCTAATTCCATAATGGTCCTATATATGGAGCCTCTGGGTACCCAATCTACGTCGATCGTGCTCAGCCTGGAAAAGCGCCAGGTAGGCGCAGTAGGCCACGAGCCTGCGCTGAGGCGTGCCGCGTTTGGTTTCTCAAGCGGTAAACCCAACCTGTAGACTCCTACAAATCTCCCCGAATAGTAGTAGGAATGGTACTAGTAATAGTACAAAACGGGTAACAGTGATTCAATATAGTGATTGGTAAACTAGAAAACTAGTACTAATGAGTAATTAGAAGTTAGGAGTTCGTAATTAGGAAATAGGAATCAGGAAATAGTAATTGGTAAGTAGTATTTAATAGTTAATGGCTCGTCATCTGTGATTGGTAACTACTACAAGTAATAGTACAGTGTGCAGGGAGAGTGGGTCTTTCTTGTCTCGAAGATATTGCTGCTGTAAATCCGCACGGTCGCTAGATTGAAAATTCCTACCCTAAGTCGGAAGCCCTAACCCTTAAACCCAGACCCCGCCCCACAAACTGTATCCAGCAAAATCCTCTTGCTCTCCATAGTCCCTTTCTTGCACTAGTCACGTCCTGCCTTGCTTTCCGGTCTCCCCTGTGCTCAGATTGCTGTCTGTGCCGCTCCTTTCCCAAAAACCCCAACTGTTGATGATATCAATCCTGTATTACCTTAAGGGCCCTAAAGTATGGGAACGATGGTAATATTCCTTACTATGGGTACATAATGCAGGGTGTATATCATCAACCGTAGGTACTGTTACCGGGGATACTTCCCCAATCACAACAGCAATTCCTAACACCGAAACCTACCTTCTACTCTATTTGTACTTCGGAACCCTTAAAGGAGCCCTAAAACCCTAAACCCTTAAAGGAGCCTATATAAATAAATATATATATATATATAGGTACTTAAGCCCCTTCGGGTTTCGCAATCCTAAACCCTAAACCGCCCATGCCCCCTCCCACGCGCGTCCACATTTGTGGAATCGAAACCCACTGAGGATGGCCAAGCAGGATCACATTCCTTTTGGCTGAAGGTTTAGGGTTTAAGGTTTAGGGTAATATAGGGGCCTTTATAATTAGAATAGGGTTTGGGGACCCGGACCCATCCTACCATAATTATAATAAGGACCCCCCCCAAAAAATATAGGTAATTATTTAGGCTTCTATATGAGGCTGAAACCTCAGGCCCCGGGGCTTGGAATTCAGAGCTTAAGGGCTTCTGTGGGATGTTTCTCCATGATTGCTTCTGCAGGGTTTAGGGTTTAGGGTTTAGGGTTTAGGGGTTTAGGGGCTTAGGGTTTAGGGCTTATGCATGCTTTTGCTGGTCCGCTTTGCAACGTGCATTTCTTTTCCACTGCCAAGGAATGCAGGAGCAGCCTTAAATTGGTTGTTGGAATCATATGACCCTCAACCTAAATATCTACATCTATAAAAAAAACTTGTATATCTATCTATATATATATATATATGAGCCCGACGCTTTTAGGGTTCATTTGACTACCTTTGTATATGTACAATACTAACTGCTTAGTTAAATGCTATACCGCGACATGCCCCGTACCAACGTATAGGAGGCGAGAAGTTTCAGACCTGTTATCCCTCTACGTCTCTTAAACACAAGTTGCGACCCATGAAACCGAAACAATCCTGCGAGGTATGTCCCCGATGTTTGTTTGAATTACATCAGACGAGCTCTCACAGGACCGTGTGTATTACAATCGAGTCATATCGTTTGAATCGCAAACAGCAGTGGCACACTGTGTGAGACATGTAGTTCGTATGCATGTCCAAGCATGCAAGTCTAAGCGTTTTTGTGAAATCTCAAAGCGAACACTACATTGATACGACCGAACGTATCTCGATGCAACGTAATACTTGGGCATAGTACCTAGTTATAGGGCCAAGACATGATGCCTAGAGGGCCTAGATTTGTGTACACGATCTTCTTGGTTGATACCCATTGGCACGTTCCTGCCTGGTTATTGTCGTACTCTTCCGTATGCGCCCATCATCCTGTCCAGTCAGCATTGATGCAGTACCGGTGTGGGAAGCAATGAAGGCAGGCTACAAGCACGCACATGCTGCAGCGAAAGTTGCATTTGTTTTTACATCCAGCCATGCAGCATTTCCGAATGTTATGGTGTTATTTCTAACCAGAACTACGGAGCGGGTGAATGCGTCGAACTGACAATGGAGTCACGCATCTCCTTCCTTGAGGTTTGTCAGTTCTGCGAGTGGACGGCTTCTTCATAGCCCATTTCTGTACAAGTCTACGTTCACTCTTTCGTGCAGTTGCAAGAGGTAAACATGCCTTGGAATGGCGGCCATCTGACTGTTGTTCCGTACACCACATCGCCCAGTTCTGATCACTCCACAAGGATTGGTGGAGAGATCTGCCGAGTAGCAGACTCGCACTGACGACATACGTCAGCGGATGCTCAGTTGCCAAGTGATGGAGCAACATCTTTATGTATTAATAATATCGCAGCCTCAAAGCCAATGTAGAGTGGTGCAGTGAATTGGTACTGCGTGACCACGAACTGATTTCTGCATGAAGTGCTTCGTTGAGTTCCACTTAGCAGAAAGGTAAGATATGCTTTCTTCATGCGATGTCTTGACCGGACATTGCTCATGAGCCACTCAAGTCGATCCGGAGCACAGGCGGACCAGAGCACCTTGTAAATAGGCTTGTTGGGTCCAGCCGCCTTCAGCTGAACTTCTAATTGATAACGCTGACATAAGGCAGCGATACATTTGATGAATGTAAGCCTGTCATGAAATGGAATGTCCGCTTTGAGTTCGTGTAGATGAGATGCAGCTTCGTGCTGGTTCATCGAGAAGTCCAGTATCATCTCTCGATATCGAGTTTCTTCACAGCTGAGAGGCCTAGGCGTGGTGCCATCGTAATATGCACTCCAATGACCGACATCGGTGTCTGAATCATAGGCGACACATTTGTTTAAAATACAATGCAACTGCTTGAGCCGGGCTTTTCTTGTTCCAGAAGCCGTACTCACACACGATGGCTAAGTGAACGGGGTCCAACATAAGGCTCTCCAACTTTGGACATATTGCTTTCATCTGAGTATATAACTTCTCGGAAGGACTGTCTGTGGCTACATGACAAATCGTACCAAGCTTGTCAGCACTGAAGGTCTCCGTAAAAGCCTCTACCAGCTGCTCTGAAGACTCATTCTGAAGAGGACGCAGAAGCAAGACCGCCCCAGATCGGCCCCGTACACTTAGTATTCGGCGCCAGGCCGCGTCTCCGAAGGGGGCAGCATTACGAACGGTCTTCGGAGCTCTGTATGTTTCTTGACCAAGGAGCTTGAGACATACTTTGACTGTAGCATCCATGCTGACGTAATGCCACTCGTCGTTTAACTCCAATGATCTGGTCATCTCACTTACTTCTCCTCGAAATGCGGCTGGTGAGGTGATGTCCTCCATGATAGGCAACCAGTAACGGACGTCTCCCGGAAGAAGAGTGGATATCCGGTTGCCATGCTCGAGAGCAGGCATATGGCAGCGGGTCACCATGGTACGCACCTCTTACGCGAGCCGTCATACACATAATATACTTACTTGGAATGTGTACTCTAGTGCTTCATTCTGCACGACATATAAAGACTTATGTTTGGATACATCCGAGTTGCCTGAGCGTGATTCAAGACGGCTTCCCGAATCAGCAGGTCAGCGAAGGAATGTGTGTAGTAAAGATATCGCACCCTTCTAACATCCAGCCCATTTCCAACGAACTTGGCATTCACATAGCGAGGGCCTGCAACGTCCAGGACCAGCTGTATGTGTTGGTCGATATGGTTGCAGTTGTTCTTCAGACGTGGTTGTACTGTATCACGCAATAAAGTCGCACTCTTTTGTAGAATATCAGACGCCGGTATTTGCGAGGATGCAGAGTGGTTAAACATAGCCAATATCACTTTGACCTGTTCCGTCCCAGAACACACATATTGATTCGCCACCACGTGATGCTTCTCGATGTGTGTTCTCAACTGGCGAAGTTGCGCAAAGGATCTGAAAGGACACATGGGACAGAGTCTACGTCCATCAACTCGACGTGATTTGGTCCGCAACTCTTCATAGACTGTCTGGACCTCTTCACTCAGCAAAGTCTTTAAACCATCAGATATGACAGGATTCTCATCCTCATCCAATGTAAACTTAGACTTCACATCGTCGGAGTCTCTCTCATCTGAACCGTCCGAGTCAGCGCCTGCAACCATGTCGAGCAATTGTGCAGATTTGTCATCTGGCTTGTCTCTTGCTTCCCGTTTCCAGCAGGACACGACGGTAGAATGATCCACTGCAGCATCATGGATCTCATTGAGCAACTCCACCGACGTCTTGTAAACCGTGGCACCATCGAATAGTGTGGCGAGAGACCCATCAAGTCGTACAGCGACGCAGTGTGGACTTCCGTTACCTTCGTAATGAATCATGTACGACTTCACATGATTGTCCGGCAGACCAAAACAGCATGCAATATCGATGGAACACATCTTGGCCATAGAGCGGTAGTCTTCGTACTTCAACTTGAGAGCCTCTGCGTTGGCCAATGATCCGGCAGTCAGACACAACAGCAACGATGGTCGGTCTGGAGAGCCGTACCACGTGCCAAAGTGCACACGGAATGATAAGGCGTTGGCACGGCTGCCTCTGTTCTTCACCAGCTCGATGAAAGACATATGCTGCTTTACAGTGATGGTAATGCCAGTACCATGTCCTCCACGGACGTCCACATCAGCGACATGATCGTGGCTGACGGAAAGGTCTTCTGCTTGTTATCGCCAAGTGACATGTAATCTTGGTGTAACATATTACATGCCATCCATCTGGTGTACTGAGAAAGTTTCTGCAAGCCAAGCACAAGCTCGTGATTCTTCAAGTTTGCAGGAGGCGCTCCACGGTTGAATACGGTGTTGATGACATTCTTGCCTTGGACGACATTCAGTCCCAGCTTTTGACGAAGTCAGATCTGTTTTTGACAATATCATCCGATAGAGCCAGCAGATCGTCCGGCAGTGACGGCTCCGGCTTGGTCTTTGTGATGATTTGCTGTACCAAAGTAAGACAGCAGTTGTATATGTCCAGATCCACCGTGTGATCACCCACAACATGACCTTGAAGGCGACGGGACATGGACTGCGCTCCGCCTGCAACTGTATATCGTCTTGCTCTCACGGAATACTGCTGCTTGTCCGAATAATGATAGGAAATGCATGGACTCCGTACATGAGTTTTTTCGGTGCTGGTTGAAGAATCTCGTCACAACAAACGGCGAGGCTCCGCATGAAGATTGCTGGGTAGGAGAGCACATCCGAAGGACGCGAACGCCTAGTGTAAGGGGCCTTTCATAATATAATAGGGTTCTGTGTTGAGAAGGTTTCAAAAAGGGTTCGACATTATAGGGAACCGTAAAACGGAAGATTTCAAAGGTTTAGCCTAGGGCCTAGGTGAGCTCGTCCCACATAGGATGCATGCTTTCCCACCGGTGTGGAGCGGTGAAGATTGGCAGTTGCCCGGCTGCAGCAAAGAACACTAAACCCCAAGCCCTAAACCCCTAAAACCCAAAGCGTAAACCCTTAAACCCTAAACCCCCAACCCTAAGCCCCTAAATCCTAAACCCCTAAACCCCAAACCGTAAACCCCTTAACCCTAAACACTAAACCCCTCAACCCTCTATCCTAGAAGCTCCAGAAAGACCTCTTAGCCTTCAGCCGGCTCAGAAAGGCAGCTTGCGGATCGAATTTCGGCATCATATTAGGTTTTAGGGCGTAGGATTTACGGGTTTAGGGCTTCAGGGGATCTCACACCGTACATGCACGATCTATGTGCCGGTGCCTAAAGCCATGGTCTAGGGTTAGGGTTTAGGGTTCAAGCCTAAAGCCAGGGTTTTGGGTTTAAGATTCGAGTACAGCCTATTCTGGTATTTCATATTATAGTTATAAAAAGAACCTCTAAAATTGTATATGTATTTCGTGTCTTCTTCCAGGTTCCGGGGAATAGTCTGCTACTTCTGCAGGATTGCAATGCTCCCCGAAGCCCTGGCCATGCTTGATTCCCTGCCCGGCCTTGTTCAGGAAAGTCTGCTGCTCTGCGAATCACTGTCCTGGTGCTTTGCGAGTAAGAAACTATAATAAACAATAGAATAGAAGACAAAAAGCCCCTCCTCCTGGTAGTACGTACGGCCAGGAACACCAAGTGGTGGTAGTGGCACCTTGTGCTGTAGTTTGCTTTAAACTAATGTATTTGTGAAACAAAAACTGAGAACGCCACCAGCATACACTGCACAGATCGACTTTTCACGACCTTAGCTTTTCATCATGAGCAGCGGCGCTTCTAAGTCAACATCTTTAAGTTTCAGGAACTCACTTTCTGCACGACATCCGCATCCACCTGAGCATTAGAACAATGAACATAGCCAGAATTCGAGAACGAGCATGATCGAGCCTCCACCGATGATCACTTTGTGCCCTTAGGACATAGGCCCCAATTACAACATTACAAAACGGAGACAAAACACAGTTTTCTTGAGCTCGGTGCTGTCTTCACCGACGTCTCGCTCTCCTGCAAACACTTTCGGAAAGAAGAAACTCAAGCAAACAGAACGAAGATTCGCGATGTGCCTTGGCATCCCTCTCGCACGTCTTTTCCTGCAATCACTTTCCGAAATTGAAACTAAAACAACAAGAAAGGCGCGCGAGACAAAGCCTCGAACACTGTCTCCTTCAGAACCTCGCAAAAAGGTTTTCTAAGCTTTTCAAAGATGAAACAACACACGCAGCATGCCTCCGGTTTCCAAACACGCGGCTTGCGTTCCTCGGAGATTGTTTGTTTTGTTTACATTCGAAACCAAAAATTACAAGACCCTGGCACTGGCGAACGCCGCTGGCGGGCCGAACTGACAGGAAATCAGAGACAGGCATGCATTCATTCAGCAGAAAATTTCGCGCACCTGCCACACTTGCCCTCTGGGGCAGCACCGCGTCCTGGGCCTTGGCTTTGGCCTCATCGGTGATGGTTTTGTTTTTCAATGCGATGATTTTGTGTTTTGAGATTCAGGATTCAGGAATAAGCCCACGACGAAAGCCTTGGGCACCATGGTGTGCTCACCAAAAAAAACTGTGCTTGAGCCAGCAAGCTGGGAAAGGGAAGTAGAGGTCAAGAAAGCAAGCCCTTCAGGAGGTTTGAGGGCTGAATCGTCAACCCCGTTTGCTCGCATGTGTTTTGGTTATTGCGGAGCTGATATTTGCAAAATCGAGCATTACACCTCGCACATAAACGATCACATTCCATAGCATGGCATTGATGATAAATTTCTGTCGCAAGCTGTTCATTTGATAAAACTGTTCAACGATATATAACATGGAAAAGACTTCGGTCGCAGCTCGACATATAAACGAATGATCATGGCTGGCATGATTGCTCTCTGCTTCCCTTCACAGCTCGCACATAAACGATCACACTCCATAGCATAGCGTTGATGATAAATTTCTGTCGCAAGCTGCTCATGTGATCAAACTGTTCAACTATATATAGCATGGAGAAGACTTCGGAAGGGAACCAACTATTAGGTGGTTCCAGTCATTTGACCCTGTGCACACATGTGACTCATGAATCGCTTTTCAAACCCCGACGTAGTCTGCCCATGCCGAAATCTTCACGTGTAGTGTCCTAATAGTATCATTGGGAATATGAAGGTCGTTAAAACATCACTAACATTACACGCAAATAACACTTGAACATAGTAGAACCACAAGATTTGCGCAGACGCAGAACCATACAATTTGAAACTGATCGAGACTGTTTCATAGAGTTCCAGCCGGCTGTGTCAGGATTAGCCGCATCCATTTCATGTTCTTCGACGGATTTCTTCCCTGTCAAACGTCTGTTTTGTGAACTTACCAACTTCTTCAGAGAGTCTTCGTGACTTTTCAGCTTGCGGATAAGAGTATCATACTTTGTCTTCGCTTCCTCTTGCTCTGCAGAGCGTCTTCCCATTTTGGAGGCAGGAATGAGGGCTTTGTAAACATTCATCATCGTCTCAGTGTTGAGGGAGCGACCGCGACTACTGAATGCATATTTCCTAGCCAGTCCCACGTCGTGCTCCTCTTCGAAATCTAGTCGGATGTCTTCCAATCCAGGCTGCGGGCATACATTAGTAAACGGACGACCAAATGAAATCATGGGGATGAAGGCTCCTGGTTTCCACTTGCTAGTCTTTCGTCGAACGAGTCCAGGTCGAACAACACCACGGTCTTTCAATTGATCTCAGATGTCTTCTTTAGATAAATTCGGATGCTCATCTTTGTTGAGTAACATTTTTTGAACTCGTAGGAGGTCATGACGTCAAGGTCATTATCCAACATGTGGCCGACTATAAACTTGTGCAGATTCTTCCATTCTTAGTCCTTCTCAACTCTTTCGTCTGCGCTATCTTGATCGCCTGCCAGAATATTTCCCAGGCCGTCCGCATCTTGCAACTGCCGCGCTCGCACAGGCATCCCTCATGACGTCTTCAGTCAGGTAGCCATCGCCTCCGTTACAGTAGTCCTCAATAAGCTGATAACAATCCTCCTTGCTATGATCAGCCTCGAATGCCCACTGTAGTCGCAACCCAGCAATGGACGCTTGGGAAGTGGCCAAGTTCTTGCTCAAGCCGGGGTTGGCCTCGAAAATTCCATCCTGTTCATGATCTGGATATTTCGTCAGCAACTTTGTCCGCACGAAACGAGCTTTTGCTTTCCATACAAAAGATCGTCTGAAGAGGGGGTGAAAGTTTTGGTTCGTCACATCCAAAAAAGCCATGATACGATTTACTTCCAGTCGCGTCCAACCAATCGTATGGAACATACGAGTACTATACCCGTAGGCTTTCCTGCCCATGATGCCATCGCCTGATATCGTCTTCTTGTAGGAGCTTCTTGACCTGTCAGGATGAAGCACTTCGCGAGAGACTCCACCTGCTTGCGCAGTTTTTCGTCGACGTGCCAAATATTTGGATCGAAAAACGATGATTGTGTTTGTACATCTCGGACAGATGGAGAGAGTACAAACTTTGGCCGACCCCACCTAGCGATACTCCACCGAAGAATTGAAACAATTGAAATCGGCCCCATTTCAATTTTTTCAATTATTGAAATGTGGGGGGTTGGGCTGGAGCCAAGTGAAGATAGCAGGGATTTCAATTATTTGAACTGTTTCGGGTCCCCCCGAATTAAAATAATTGAAATAAGCTTTTGTGTTTTTATTTATTTCGATTATTTTTAATATTTCAATTCTACTGACTTATAATGATTACAAGTATGCGTCAAATAGACCCTGAAGGCTGTTCTCTCATATATATATATATACACACATACATATGGGCTTGTGCATCTGTACTTATCCTTAAACCATTCAGCCTCTGTTTACACATGTTTTAATACGTATGTGCTTGTTCATTTGTTAAGTTGTCTCTTCATTTAGCCTTGCCAAAAATCTCTATGAGCTTACCTCAAAATCCAAACACCCGTTCACCCCTTTATAAAAAGCCTTTTCAAGCCCATATCGACGAAACTTCAGGTAATAGTAGCCTAAATCCCACACTTAAACTCTACCGCCAAAAGCCCCACCCCCTCAATTTATTAAGGTCCCTACATTCGAACCCTAAACCCTAAACCCTAAACCCTAAACCCTACCTACA